GAAAAATTCCGAGAAAGAAAATTCCACTGCAAGAAAACCACAATATAAAGCACTTCAGAAAACCATTGCAGGAAAATAACTTCCATTAACTCATTCAAGAAGATATTATCTTATCTGTCCAAAGAGAATATTCGATTTTAAAATAAATTAATATTTTTACTTCTATTGATTCGTTATGCAGTAACATATTCGAAAAAATTATTAAATGAATGAATCCGAAATACTATTAATTTTACTGCAATGTATTGCTCTCAGACTTTCGTTAATCATATAAAGCAAATAATTGAGCTGATTAACTGTCATCATAATGCATTTGTGCCCGTGTTTCTGTAGTAAAGGCATAAGTATAGTAGGGAGTTTGAGTAGTAAAGGGATTTAATGCTTACAAAATAAGTTTCCTCTGTTACTCATTTTGGATGATTTTATTATTTATTTCTTTGTAAAATTAGGAATGAACTGTGAATGAATGAGCTGTTGAAAATCTTAATAACCAAAAAAAAAATGTCAGCTCACCTTCACATTAGTCGCGCATCCTGTACTGTTCTCCAGCTTTGCTTAAAGCCTTCAACGAAGCCCGCACAGCAGAAAAAGTAAATTCTGACCCGCAATTGCGACAGGTTTAAGAGGCCTGTCTTAAATTCATTTAAAATATGACTCTATTACACGGTAGCGCGCCTCAGAATAGCACCCCGAGCCCTGAGCTCCCCTCTGGCAAATTACTTCAATTTCTGCTTACTTTCAGCCACATTTGCTGTGATAGTGAAACAGTCGCGGCAAACTACCTCGGACATGATAACATCAACGCGTTTTATAAGGTGCATAAAATATGCAGACTTCATGACTACATCATTACAAATCTTATCACCGGATCAATAATGCCGAATATTTTATTTTAAATAATATACAGAGCATGTTTTCGTAACACAATTATACATGCCCGCTGAATGTTTCTGTTATTTTTTGCATCACTCTCTTACATGTCCGATGAATGTTTTTGTGATTTTTTTTATAAACTACATTTGAATAAAATGAATGATGATATAAACTTATCGCATGCATAAGAGCCTGGAATGTTATCACTGAAGCAGCCATGATATTGCAACAATGTTGAGCTTTGACCGCGAGGCTGAGAACTTTGCCACGCTGTCAATATTTTAGATTACACTCAATGAGAAAGATAAGTAGAGTTATGTGTAAAGTGAGGTTGCAGAGTGCATTCTTATCATCTGGGAAGATAACTACAACTTTTCGCGTATTTGAGAAGACATCGTAGGTTACATTCATATCATGCAACTCTGTTTTGCATGATTATACGAAAAAGTTACCCTAAAGTAAACAGTGACCGCTTTGGACAGTTGCATTGAATACAATTTTGCAGCACCTAATATATAACGAAATCTAATTTCGAATGTACTTATGATCTATCCTTTACAACAATGAGTTTTCTTTGAGGGGATTTTCAGCCAAAAGATATTACTGTACCGAGGAAAGAGAGCGGTCTGTGACACTGACTCAAGTTCTATAATAATTTTTTAGAGGTTACAACTACGGATCAAAAGCATCGGACTATATCACCACTTAACTCCTTATTTAAGTATTAAGAACACTACAACTATAGTGTATCATCGCCAGTTAACTTATTGTTCCTGCATGGAAGGATTAAGAAACAACATTATTAAAATCAGCGACATTGTTTCTGTACGAATTCAAAACTTCGCAATTTTTGTGCTGCATCGTCAGTTACATATGATTCAAATACGTATTAATTAAGAACTCCACAAATCGTGTTCCATAACCAGTTAGCTAATGGCTTCTGCAAAAAAAATATGTCCACACCAAAACTATCACTTTTTATCGCCTCGCTAAAATCCGTAGCATAAGCTAATGAAAGTTCTTGTTCTCACAACCAGATGAGCCCACAATAAAATGCATGCGCGACAAGAGGAAAATAAATTAATTCGTATATGTTCGGCCTGCATCTGTTTTTATAGGTACATTAATTCGGTGCTCAGTTACTGGATTACAGGAAACTCTAAATTTCTTTCGATTCTGTGGTACAATTTTAATAGTTATGTTATCGTTCTTCAATTCTAACTCACGTGGTTATTAGGAGAAAATCATTAATAAGCATCTTCAACTATTTACAAATCGAATATTATAAATAGGTCCATTAAGACAATTCAATTAAATTTCTATTGAAAAATTTTTAATGAGAAAGAAAATGATCTTATTCATTTCATATAATCTTAAGAGATGAGGAATAACAGAGATGCCGATGGGTATTTCCTTACAACTATCCCTTTTAATGCCAACGAATGCAAATTACGGTGAAAAAAATATATAAAAAGTATACGTACGCATAACTCTATGTTCCCTTCTGTATTTTTTAGTTAATAGACATATTTACAAGCGTAAAGAAACACACTTATACGTAATAAAATACATGCACTGTTATTTTCACAAATTAAATCCAGGATTTGTCAATAAACTTGAATATAGAAACATAATGTCAGATACATCCAAACTAAACCATTCTCATCTCTTGTTCCACCATCAAACGCAAATTGAATCACAGTAAACTGTAAGATGCATGAAGTTGAATTCAGTAACGCTAAAATTTTAATTTTGGCTCCATGCAGGAAAGTGTCGCATGACTCACAACAATAAAACAGTCCAATTTTAGACGACTTAGTGAAGGAACCGCATCGATGACAACCTTAACAATGCCATTTTGCCAGAATGTCACAGGCGCTTGCATAAAATGACAACTAAGAATTTTCAAATAATCTTGCTTTGGCCCAGCCTAAAAATTACCGGAAATTCAAGCTCGTCTCACCGATCGAACACTCAAAACCTACGAGGGGGTTTTAGCTGATAATAAACAGAGTTTAAATATGAGCTGGGAACGATCGACTATGGATCGAGAAGACCTTATCATACAACTCTGTTTTCAGTCATATTATTTTGAGAGGCTGAGTTACTGTTATGGTCATTTCTGTTTGCTTTTATACCATGGCCTTGAATTCGTCAGAGGTCTATAAATCGAGAGATCCGTACAATGTCTAAGCAAGCCTCTAGTTGAACAACACTCATTTCTTACACTTGCATATGCCACTCTTAATTTAGGATATTGATGTTTGAGGAATGAATGAAACCAACCGAACTTTCTGAATTAGTTGCGTTTTGGTAATGAATACTCATTAATGTTTGTTATTTGTTACGACGTTCTGAATAAGCTATTCTCCTTGTCTGGCGAGAATTAAAGTTTTTATACGCTGGCAATTTATGCTTTGGAGAGGTACACATATGAACAGAAAATCAGTATTATGGACACGACATGAAAAAAAAATCAGTATTAGGGACACGGTACATTCTTCATTATTCCAAAAAAATAATTATAAAGCCCCAAAAAATCCTATGTTTTCAGATTTTATAGCAGGAGTCTCTAATTCGCGACGAGAACTTCAGCGCTGCATCGCATGTCAATGCTCAATTTCCGCAGTGTCGTGCAAGAGAAGGCCTCGTTGAGAGTCTCTCTCGTGTAGTACAGTGAGAGAAAAAGAAAGAGAAAAAGCATTGCGCACATTTAAAGATTGAGTGCGATTATGAAATCTCTACAATCTTAATAATTCCATCTAAAAATCTTAATTTCTGTGCAATAATCTCCAAATTATTGAATGCTTCACGTTTCATTGTTAGTTCTAATGCGGTCGTATTGTCTTGCCACTTATAATCATGTATATACGTCTGAATAGCTGTCTCTAACTTAATTAAATGAAAATAAAAGGACCAAAATTTTACTTCTCTGGAAATGAACTTCAGGGCTTAGGTGGTTCTCTGAATCTAAGCTATACAAACAAGTTGTTTTGTTGTTTAAAGCTCAACATTTAGCAGACAATGAGAGTCCTCCAGTCATCTCATGATCTCAGTACGCTTATAAGACAAGCAGAGATCGGTTGTAGGATCACAATGCATTGACTTGATTCTGCCACCAGCTCTCGACCCGGTGCAAGCAAAACGGAGGCTCAGAAGCCGCCTCAGCGGAATGTGTTGGTTAACAGCCCTTTCAGGTGTCAATTATAATAATAAAGTGCAAATCATATATTCTAAAAATAATGAGAATTTGTTGATGGGATTACATTACTTGCACTATGTTGTGACGCAACACTTCGAGCAAGCAAACACTACAATGAGATGAACTCGCTCAAGCCGTTCCACAACACGCTTATAATTTGACGATTAAATCACATTCATATTCAGAGCTTTGAGAAAGGCTCTGGCCGCCTCACTTCAGTGCTCAGATTGACAACAAGTTTTCATGAGTTCAAAAATGATGAATTATGGGCGCTTCGATAAAATGGCTTGGAGGATCTTATTTATAAGACAATGGCAAACAAAACCTATGCCTGAATCCATCTCCGCTTACAGAACAAGAGCGTCTTGATCTGAAAGATTGGGAATCGCTTGTGAAATTTATTGTCTGTTTGCTCTGTGACATTAACACCATAATTGAGGAAAGAAGGAACGATAACGAAGATGAAGATTAATAAATTTTAAGAACTTATTCCTGTTTCGACAGGTTGAATCCTGTACAAGATAAATGCTGCCTTGCACAAACGAGACCAGGCATTTAGCGTAACCGCGTAAGGGAAGCACAACTGAAGAAGCACTACCATTCCAGGCCAGATTTTAGTTAACTTGAGTACGGACACGAGTTCCAGAAACCAAATTCCTATGATCATCGGCGGCATTCTAGGTACATGCCAATGTGCGTTCCAAAACCCTCAGGAGTGGACAATACAGAAGAAAGACTCGTATGAAGACATCAAATAATTTTTTGATGGAATCAAAAGTTACCCAGCACTGAAATAAGCCTATCCAAATCTATTCCAAGGTGGCATTCATGGGCATTACAAACCATTAACGGAATAGAGTGAAGTTGATTCAAGCTATCAAAGAATAATAAGCTAGTGGCCGTCTAGGTGGAAAAATTTCTTCAATGACGCTCATCAAATTTATTAAAATGGCTTATCAAAATTGTCTGTCCAATCACTGCTGGATTTTGAATTATAAGTTATTATACCTCACTAATTTCATGATTTTCCTCCCTCCTCAGCAACAACGAATTGAGGGCAAAATCGGGATTATCAAAACTGTTCTGGAATATATACTTCTGACAATACAACTCAACTAATTTTATAACAGTGGAAATAATAACTTAATTGTTTATCTTCGTCGGATCTCGAATTATAAATTTAGTTTTATTTTGACTAGTTCGATATACATTTCTATCTGAATTTATTGGCGCTCGCCCAACGGTCGGCATTGAAAACAATAAAACGGGACAATCCGAGACATGTAGAATCGTTCAGCGTAGAGCCCTTCCTTGAATTTGCCATTCGGTGGACAAATTGAACCAATTTTTGAATTAGCGAAGGAACATTCGGAATAATACATCGCCTCTGTAGGTGGGAATCTCCGACGAGTAAGTTTAAGAGATGGTTTCTACTAAAATTAAATTTAGGAGACGGTAGAATAACCACTAAATAGTTTGTATTGGAACTACACTGCTAAAGTAAGAGACATAATAATTCTAATTATCAAATTATATTCAATAACAAGCAACAAATGCCATGTCACAAGGAAATACCCAAAAATTAATGCCAAATCATATAACAAATAATCTCAAAAATTTCTTTATCACAGACAGATTTCAGTAATCGTAATTCAATTCAATCCCGGACTAAGCCGATTGCTTCTGGCCTGATCGTTTGTTTGCCGAGATGTGGCTCGGAGGGAATCGTTTCCGTGAATCGTTCACTCCGAGAATGAAATTATGCATCGAAATAGCATTGCATCCAAATAATATGATAATTTTAAATAGAATAATACCGGAGCGAAAAGTCTCGCTAAACGTTAATTGACACATAAAAGAGCAGCAAAGGTCATCATACAAAAACGGTTTCGCACAGAAAATCTTTGTTGTACTTTGCCCTAAGTTTGAGTACGAAAAAACACAACTATTCGTCCACTAGATGTTCAGTACTATGCTGCATTCTAATCAAGCATACATTATAACAATAATATCCAAGTCATGTAGCGCTTCGAAACTAAATTTGGGCGGCCATCAAGTTTCGGAAGCCGATGAACTGAAGTTTTCTACCACCACCTCTTGTTCCACTGGTTGTTGTTGTTGTTCCACTTTCCTTGATCTGAAAAAAAAATTCGTTAATTTTTACCATCATTGTTCCTATATAAGTTAAACATTAATTGAATCACTCTGGCAGGACTCGGAACAGATCATGTTATTGCCGTAACTCTACTAACAAACACGCACTGTCGTGATTTATGACCATAATTCTAATGTAATCATGTTACTTCCGGTTTCAGGATGTTTAAGAAGTTTTTTCCTAACTTAATCTTGTAATAACACCGGAGCAGATGTTATATTTATGTGTTTATAATAAATAATAAACAAGCCCAATATTCTACAAATCTTATGAGTGATTTTGAGTCTCAATAATTTATATAAATTCTCTGTGACAATAGCAATCAATACGTTGCTCAATGCCCAACCAAATTATCAAATGAAATGTAATGTGTTGCAAGATGGATATAAACCATAGGTTCAGATTATTCTTTGATTCAAAATAGTACTGTTAGCAAATAATACATTGTAGTTTCCCATTCAATTACGATCACAGAACTACAAATGGCGTATAGAGGTGATAAATTTAATAAATTTCTCTAATTTTAGTCAGCCTGTAATCGCTTCTACTTGAAAGCCCAATTGCCTTGGTGGGAATAATGTCTAAGAGATGAAGAGATAACTGTTATTTTTAAAGAATCTTACTTCATGCAACCTTGGCGTATAAATGGCAAAATGTAAAAGTTGATATTCGGAGCTCTAAATTTTTTTTTTCAACTTGAAAATAGTTACTCAGTTATAAAGTAGTGAATACTTACAGAAGTAAAAAGTAAATTCAAAATTCCACCAAAAAAATAGTGTTTTTTATGGAAGAGGTGATTGGATGAAACTATATGAAAAAATCACTTACTTGATGACTTCTTTGAGTTCCACGAATTACCCTGGTTCCATTTACTCTGACTGGCCCAATTGAAGGGATTGCTGCGTGAGCCACTATTGCTCCAGATGCTGTTGGAATGCGCACCGTTCCAGCTTTGCCCAATTTGGTTGTCCCATGCTGGGTTGTTCCACGTGGACTTCACTGGAGTCTTCCAAGTGGCTCTGGTAGGTGTATTCCAGTGCGTGTTGCTGGTGGTGGCCGGTCTCGCCCAGCCACGACTACCGCCCCATCGCTCGTCGCTCTCGACGCTGTTGCTGTAGTCGCGGCGACGCCAAGAGGAGGTCGACGGCCGCTGGGCGGCGGCCCAGTGGACATTCGTGTGACGTGTGTTGAAGGAACGAAAGTTTCCACCAAAACGTTCGTCGCTGTCATCGTCCCAAGAACGGCTTCTGAACGATGGGAACTCGTCACTGTCAGCAAAGATCAAAGCTGCCAATCCGAGCAGAAGCACCTGCAACAACATCAATTTTTTTACTCATAGGAAAATAAGAAAAACACGAAATCATTTACAATATTAATGAGTTTCTTAATAATGGATTTAATCTTATTGCGCGGCTGCTCCAATGTACGACAATGAATTTGTAAAAACAATTTAGACAATGTAATCACCACTCTTATGTGCTGGTGTTAATTATTTTTATCTAATTTCTTGTTCAATTGCAAGCTATTGTGCATACTGAACAATTGTCGACGAAAATATAGTGTCGTTGATAATGTTTGAAGGCCGTTTCAAACATCTGCTAAATTAACCGAAATTGTGTGTAAATGTTTATCATTCAGAAATTTTAACTAGCTCGTCTGCGAATAGTTATGGGACTTTTTACCATTGCATCATCAACTAGTAGGGCGAAATCAAGAATTCAATTCGAATATTTTATCGTAGAATGTTTCATTGACATACGCTCTCAATAATTTCTGTCGTCTTGGAAATTCAGTGTTTCTTGACTTTCATTCAATTGCGTTGTGCAAGCTGAAGTCTGTTTGACGCGGCATTCATACCAAAAAAAAAAGAGGATTTCAGGTCCAGTCTCACGATCTCTTATCACGACGAGTTCCCAAGCTGGGTCCGCATTCCCAAGCATGAGACGTGTCGCGTGTCGAGAGCAGTTGTAAAAACGGCCATTCATTTCAATTTTTAGTTCCGCTTTCGAAAAAGTATCAAATAAGAGTTGGCCGCCCATCAGATTTTCAGTGGCCACCGATAATCCAGCAGTGGGGTTCAGCGGGATCGTCGGGGTCAAGTGATGAAGCCACAGTTCAGTGCCAAAGGTCAGCAAGACAACGATTTATTACTGATCAGTGAACGATGAGTGCATCCCTAGGAAGGCTGAATACGTATGAAATTAACAGAATTGTGAGGATTAACTCTGAGCCAAGATTGATACAACAGGGCTTTTTCTCAGTGACATATATAGGCTCACATGCAATCAAATGATAAGATCAATGAACAGGTTTTTAATAATATTCGTATGTAGTCATACGGTGCATTTTTTTCCATTTAATATATCGATAATATCATTATTCCATGAATTGTATTCTTATTGAATTTTTGTATTAAAATCAGTTGTTTGCTTAAATCGCAAGTTAAGCAGGAATTCAAAAGACGATGGAGCTGGACTCCGAAACGTTTTCTCTTATAAATAAATGGTGAATTTTCATGGTATTGTCTTTGCTATTAAATTTTATATCAAGACTTCATCTATTGGTTTTGTGTATCAAGGTGATTGTTTCAGCGTGCGGTGGAAAATTCCTACTGAAGCACAGTTGAGCCCATGGGTGCTCGTCCATGCACTTGGCGGATGTCTAGATGGCAACCCACGCTGTAAGCTGAGGTCCCAGCGAGCAAGGTCAGCTGCTCCTACGTAACTTCCGTTACGAAGATGACTGCGTGCAGCTGTGGGTAGCTGCTTGCAGGGGGGATGAAGATGAAGACTCGAGACGCACGAAGAGTTTGCTAGGGCCTCGAAATGACACTAAATTAAGCAATAAACTGGATTTATGTTATGTTACATAGTTTATCCGAAATACCGCGATAAGTGTTAATATGGCCTTGAAGACTACCCATCTTAACTATTTCGTTAAAAGTGAACAATTAGAGACTTCGCACGACTATTTGGACTATTTACGACATAAAACTACTCCAAATTCTAACAAAATGATTTGTTTTAAACAGGTATTACAGATAGCAGTTAGCCCAAGTTCAGTGGTGTAAATAATATCAATAGTCATTCATGAGGCAAGAGACGATTATTTATTCAATATTTATGTATTGTGCAAACCACACAATGACAATCTATAAAGAAAACAAATGAAATATCCTACTACAAAGCGTAAATTTATCCTATTATTATCAGAAGTTTATTATTATGTCTTTCTTTTGATGCTAAAGGTTAAAATATATGTAAAAAGAGACCCATCACCGAGTGAAATTTTGAGATGTTATTTCATTACTCGAGTTCCTACTACCGCAATTTGGTTGGAATAAATTTAGTTCCGAGTTTAAGAATTTCATGACGGATTTAGATTTCAGCATTGCTCGATCGGGAGAAATCATGATATTTGAGATCCATTTTATATCAGCTTTCCAGCCATCTTATTGCTCGACAAACGACGTATACTCCTGGCGAGAAAAAGACTTGCGTTTGCTTGCAAAATGTACACTGCTGAAGAACTAACGTCGCACACCTGCTCAACAAACGACGTACTGCCACTGCGAGCAAGTGACGTACCTCTGCTTGACAAACGACGTACACCCCTGACATAAGATGTCCCTGAGAGCAAGTCTTACGGGCTGGCTAATGAGGCAGAAGGTAAAAATGCATTGCTCGTTACGAAGAAACATTAAGCCAACACGAAGCTGACCTTCAGGTCGGGTAAATTGTTTTAATTTTGCAATCAAACAACCAGAGCAACAGTTTCCGTAGGGTGTACAACGAAGCGACGCAGAGGGTGAATGGCACACAACCGAGCTTCTCGATGTTGAAGGACTCGCCGATATTTTGCCATGGGAGTCTGGCACAACGATTTATCATCGATCATTGCACAGAAAAATGTATGTAATAAAAAATTTGATCAGTACTCACAGCAGTGAACGAGTGACAGAGAGCGCATTTTCTCGTCCGTCCGTCAGTGAAGTCACGGACGGACGGACATGACGAGCACAATAGCGCCTTTTTAGCGCATTTTCTCATTTATGGAAAAAATGCACTATTGTGCTCGCCATGTCCGTCTGTCCGTCCATCTGTCCGTCAGCCTGTCTGTCTGTCTGTCCGTGACTTCACGTTTTCGTCGACGAGAAAATGCGCTCTCTGTCACTCACTGCAGTGAGTACCAAGTTATATTTCTTCCATATATGAGAAAATGCACTAAAAATTACGACATGATCTACAAATTACAGTAAACATTAAGATATTACACGAAGATAAACAATTACCATAATTTTGCTAGCGATTCTTAGAGGCAGTTAGAGCAAGTTGCAAAAAAAAACATATTATTTATTATTTTTTCGTTTGTGTTCCACAGTTTGATCAACCTTCGATTCGATCACCATCTTTTGATGCAACACTCATAACCATCAACACACAAGGTCTTCATAATCGGTTACTAAAACCTATGCAATGACACATACGATAGCTATAGAAGAAATAAAATGTTAGAGTCAATATAACTACTGAAAAGGTAATCGCTCATGTAATATTGATTCATCAGATTACCGAGCGAAATTTTAAACAATTGTATAAAAAATCTGCGCCGTGACCGTCAATTTCAATGTATATATCTTAATATCGCCTAATATCTTAATATCGCCTTAATATCATGAAAACCATACAATTTATTTTGGTTTTTTTTCCACGCCACGATCATTATGAGCAAGCTGCCGCATCGCACAAAACACGGCACCATCTGCCGTATCCTCATCACCAAAAAGTAGGCAAGTTTTTCACGCTCGTCAAGAAGAAGCCTCAGCGCGTGCCTTATCCGTACGATCTTCACCCGCCGGCTGTGCAAGCGTCGCTCGTCTTCTGCCTCAGGGACGCGGAAGTGTGCAAGAGTCGCGCATTCTTCAGCGCCTTGCGCAACCCGCGGGTGCCAACGGATAAAACTAATTGTCCTCGGGATCTGTATTGTTCTGTCCACCCACGGAATTATTTTTTACCCGCTGATTTCATATGCATTTTAATACCAGTACTTGGTGGGTGCCAACGGATAAAATTAATTGTCCTCAGGATCTGTATTGTTCTGTCCACCCGCACAATTATTTTTCACCCGCTGATTTCACATGCATTTTAAAAATGTGCGTTTAAAAATTACTTTTTTAAAGACAACACTTCTAAAGTGCCCAGTGTCTCCGATGTTACACATGTTTAATGAATTTATTATTTTATTTTTATCTGTATAATTTTTTTAATAATTAAAAGAAATCAATTTATAAAATTATTTATTCTGTAAATCGATTCGTGCATTGTCTCCGACTTTGTGCACTTGAGATGCATCATATCGATCTGCAAAATTTCAGATCGATAGAAGTGTGCAGAATATCAACTATAAGATATGTAGCAGACAAACGAACAACAAGAAGTGAAGTTAAAGAGAAGTGTTGTAATAAAATACCTGTACTTCTCGAGTGTCCAAAACATATTGGAACGATTCATTTAAATTTGAATCAACGAAACAGAATTTTGTGCGAAACAATTCATGATATCTATGCTCCACTAATCGAAATAAAGAAATTCAATTTTTTTATCAACCATATGTTACCGTTCGCTATCCCAAAAGATTTATTTAAAATGACACTCAATTCTAATGCGTTATGTACGATAATTGTAGTCCAAACCTGTTCACAAAAATATTCTCAAACTTTGAATTCAACCATGAGTACTGAGAGTCGATCACTTTTTCGTAGATTAAAATGAACACGGCAACTAATTAGAACTCATTTTTAGAAATATTCAATCTCTGAAAGAGACAATTTCACGTATAAAGAAAATATGTTGTTATGTTCATCGTGCACCAACAAGTCCCACCATGCAGAGAATAAACAATTTACAATTATGGCACAGGCCTGTTTCCATTGCGATATGGCCATTTCTTTTCTCTGCATACATTTCAGAAGTGACACTGCAAATTTCGAGCTAAATTACAATAGAAGCGCAAACAACCATGATTAAATGAATTAAAATACATGTCCATTGGCAGACCAAAACTTGATTCTGGTATTGACACAAAGTAGCAGGCTAGGCCAGCGTTTCTTATATGCAGTAATAGCAGCAATTTTAGCATCTCGTTATCTCAATCTCGTTGATAATAAAACTTATATATGTTGCTTAAAGGAAAGCTCGTCTGAAACCACATTTCACCTGAAACGTAGAACTCCGGTGTGACTCTTGTTTCAAAATATAAAAACAATTATTCTGCGTGGTTTAAATTAAATGTATAAACCCAATTCATAATAAGGTTTCAATCTACTACTCTCCACTATAAATGAAACTTCAGGTAAAATCCCGGCAAGATATGTATAGTGGATACGCTGTCTAGGATCCCTTGTATATATTTGTGGCGCAGAGCTTCAGATTCACAAGCAACCATAGACAAATATATGTTAGGCATAATTTAGCCTCGCCTATATATCATGAATGAAAACAAGAATTCTTTTTACAAACGATAATCTACAGTATTTGGCATTGGAAAATTCATTTATGAAAATTTAAAGATTTAAAACATATTTTTAAATTTTTATTTCTTTTTATTAATCGCCTGACGTTTCTTTATAGTTGCATTCAGTGGAATACGAATGCTATTTGAAACTGATTTTGTTAATGATATTGATTTCCCTCAACTCATATTTAAAGTATTCTGTCCAGAAATTGTGGGATGGAACACACGAAAACAGATTTTTTACTGTCAAATCCAGCACACTAAACCCCAGTGCATTAGTGCGCTCTTTGATGTTTCCTCGTCCGTGAATTCAACATAAAATATTTATATAACATACTGAGTGCAAAACATTACGCTGGTATTCGACTACACAACTTGGAAACATCCTCTTATTCCAGGAATTTAGCGAATTCTAATTCCTCGCCAGAAACTGGGCTGCCACCCGAGAACGCATAGCAGCATTTCACCTTCATTAATACACCGAGAACTTCAACACATTCCAAGTAAAAGTTAGGCAATGAACTTAACCGAGTTTCTGGAGTTATTGCCGCCATGAGTATTGAACAAAACTTGAGGCAAGTTTGCCTAATTATCGCTCGACTTGAAGCAGCTTTGGCTTCCCGACCAACCGCTTGAGTTGAGCCTTTGCAATGACGACGTATATGGCCGCCGGCGTAGGTACTTGAATGATTTATATTTTGTGTGATTAAAAGGTGCGCATAAACTAATATCCGCTTGATTAATGTAAAAAATACTTTTTTATACATTTGATACATTTTTTTATACATTTTTAATTTATTGTTATTGAAATGTCGACTCAAGAACGTCAATTTTATATCAGAGCCTTCGATCGCAATGACGACGCGGCAGCCGGCGGACTTGAATGATTTATATGTTGTGTGATTAAAAGGTGCGCATAAAACAATATCCGCTTGATTAATCCCGAAAATTCTGGGGCATCTTACATTTTTAATTTAACGTTATTGAAATGTGTACTCGAGAACGTCTATTTTATGTAAGGAATACTAAATAAATTTAATTGTGAACCTAAAGGGACTTTTAGGAAACTAAAATTGAAACGTAACTTTTATTGCCGGTATGCTACAATACTATTTTTTTTAATTATCGCCCCTGAAATTCTCACTTCGTTCAAATACTTGCCATTCAAAGAATTTTTTACACAACTCGTCTCTATTTCATATAAAGATTCCTCAAATATTAAGAAGTGGGAGTTTAATTAACAAACACTAATTATTTTGCGATTTTGCCGGCAATGTGCTGTAAATATATATTTACACGGATACTTGTCTAAGTGCTGTCTATGGATGCCGCATGAAGAATTGCGATTATATATATGTCAATATTTATAACATTTGTTTGCAACAAATAATTACGAATACGTTTCTTCAGGGTGTAAATATCACAATCATTGAGGTAGTAATTGTATTTATCACCACTAATCGGTAAAAAATTTAATTTAGTAACAGGTCAAGTGGGTATTTAATCACAAAAAATAATTCCGACTATCTAAATCCTGATACAGTGCAACATAGGAAGGCAGCAGCATCGAAACATGACGCTATTTTGGCAAAATTGTGACTCCGAAGTCGACTGAAATTTGGAAGTCGACGCTACCGCTAGGCGCTTCTTATAAACGAAGAAGCCGTTTTTAGCGCATTTTCTCATGTATGAAATAAATGCACTAATGTGCTCGCCATGTCCGTCTGTCCGTCCGTCTGTCTGTCCGTCCGTGACTTCACGTTTTCGTCGAAGAGAAAACGCGCTCTCTGTCACTCGCTGCAGTGAGTACTCGGTTATATTTTTTTGGCTTATCGGCAGCTTCAGAAGTCGACGTTATTTCGCTGTGTAGAGCCGCCTTCCAGAATACAAAATTAACTTCATTGGAAAATAATATATTACTCACAATTGTTAACTTGTTCATCATCTTGTTTCAAGTATCACTCAAGTTAACAGATGTCAAGAGAACTTTAACAAACGACTTGATGGAAAGACAGCAAGTTCCACCTTCCACTGTTGGCCACCGATGAGGAATGGTCTGTCTGCGGAGGGGTGCCCGCCTTTTATAGGGTGACCGTGACGCCGAGGGTCACAAGCCGCTTCCATGGCAGTCCGGATGTCGGCAAAGTCTCACGCTGAAGAAGATCCGCAAAAAATGACGGACTGGAGGATCTCATTTTAAAATTAAGTCTCACGCTGATGAAGATCCGCAAAAAAAGACGGACGGACTGGAATAACTTTAGAAATCTGTCATAAGATCCGCAAAAAATGACGGACTGGAGGATCTCATTTTAAAATTAAAGGTGAATGTTCCTAAATATAATCTAAAAGTTGGTTATATGTAATTTAAGAGAATATATCATGGAGTTGAGATATATATAATTGTACAAGCTTTGATTGAATAATATGTGGGATTTAATTACAGTAATTTGAACCTATAAATTCCATATAATGAAACGAAGTTTATTCGTTCAGTATGATCGCATGATTTTTTCATAACGTGAATATTGTGGAACAAAATCCGCTGCAAATTACATGGCTATAATAAGCCATTTTCTCAACCACTTAACACATCTCAACCCGCGCTCTTTTTCCAAATTTTACGAAGTAGTTAATAATTTTAAAGGCTATATTTTTTGTAGGAATAAATAAGAATTAATTTGAATCTCAAATGCCCCTAGAAGAAATCTAAAAATCAGGAGCAAAAAATTTAGCGAATATTCTTGCCCGAGGACGAAACTCGATATTGCAAGACGATAAATCTTGCGCTGTATTCTATGGTGGAAAAAATTCAGCCTAACAGGATGCCTTCACGAAGACGGGCACTCGTCCAAAGGAACATAATAGTGGATCGTTTTTAATGCCCCACAAATGAGCCATCGAAACATCACGAGGTCGAGAAGATTAGATCGGATAACAGCCGTGCCACGTCTTTTGGAAATAGAACTAGAAGTCGAGCCGCGAATAAACTTTAAAATGAATTAGGTAAATTGCTCTGTTACTATCGGAATTACTGCTTCTCATTTTTATCTATTAGTTTACCGTGTATGTACACGAAATTATCTTCAACAGCATTTCTATGTATTATCATGTAAATTACTTTTATTTTCTAGTAAATCAATAGATAATTTGAAAAATGTGGAATGGTTCTTCCTAAATGCATTGATTTTTGCACGATCTAATCACTCGCAAATACTATAAAAATATGCGCTGCTCAATATATTTATTTTAAATTGAAGAGCAAGAATTGCAACATGTAACGGCTGCTCTCAAGGTCTGTGCACGTATTCAGATCCACGAGTTGCAAATCGCAACTGCATATCGGACCATCAATATGCAAACGCTGTCTCGGAACAGCCTGAGCTCGTTTCAAGTGCCCATTCAGAGCGTTTGCAACAAGGCCCAGAGTTTGAGGAACTCAATGGACCCAGAAAAGACATTTCTTTTGGCAAGGATGATTGAGTAAGGCATCCATAATGGCCAGCAAGACGAGCAGGGGTCGGCCGCTGGCCTTGACTTGCGTGAAGAAGAGCTGCGTGACTCCATGAAATGGACTCCAACAGATCTGAATTACTGCGCAAAAATGTTTAAATCTTAAAGCTGTAAAATTGTGGGAAAAAATATCAACGTCAGCTTAGAATAAAATTAAAACGAATAATCGGGCATATTTTAACTGAACTTTGATATCAAACTTTTCCATGTATGCATGCCAAAAGTTATATTAATTACGGTTTATATAAAACTAGAAGGTAAAACAGAAGAATAAAATTAGAAGTAGGTTTCACATTGGTGAAAAAGAACTTGCAAGAAATAAGGAAATTATTGTGAAAATATTTTAGCTGCCTTCTTCTGGCTTTAACATGAAAATCACGTAAGTACATTCTATGAACGGAATGTTTTTAACTGGCATAATAAAAACATTTCCAAGAATATAATTCTATTTCATAAATGCTGATTGAGAACAATTGAATAAAAGAATAAGGAATGCCGACGTTTCATTCGATGCGTATAAATTTTTCACCAAAATTATGAAATATGAACGATATATCCCTTTTAATATACCTTCACCATCTAATATTTTATAAATTATATCGTTTGATTTTAGAAAAAGGTCATAACTTCAAAAATTTAGTCGACCAATAGAGATCCATTTTAAAATTTAGTTTTGCAGAATTTAATTTCGTCCATGAATTTGGCAAATGACAACATCCGCTTAATTCGTCGAGTTGATTCATTGAGAAAAAGTACAGCTAATTAACAGGAGCAACAATGATTAATGATCACAGGTAATTCGATGGCGCGGGAACAAACTTCGTTCAGCATTTCGGGCCTCAATTGAAGGCCCGTCGAATGAAGCTGCCTTATGGAACATTGAAGGTTGAAAACTCCGTTAAATCTAACCCTAAAAATTTTTTCGGTGGACAAAATTTCACAATTTATTCTAAAATTATTCGTAAATATTTTTTAACTCCGGTAGTAATGACAATTTTTACTCGTAATAAACTAAGTATAATTACTTACCCAATGAATGGCTCATGCTGGCTGTGTTCAACGGTGTTGACGTGGAGATGCAAAGATACGGTAAGCATCTACCGAGGCAGCCTTGACTCACGCATGTGCAAGTGAGGGGGCGTATGCCGGAGGCCAGCTTTGCCAAACTTCACACTTAGTTCATATTCCTTTCCATAGGTAAGAACGCTAGAGTGCACAACGGCCTATGAAGTCAAGTGCTCAAAGCCACAGCGCCGGATGTCCACAGCCACAAAATAAGCTTACCAAAGGTAAACATGGCCATACTGCAACTGGCCAAACCTTCTCTGGCCTAACCTCTTCTGGCCTAACCTATACGAGCTGCAACTTTTCTCCACCCAAAACAAACCTGAGCGGACCTAACCTAACCTCATCGGCTGCAAGAAGTTAGAAAGGCGGTCCAAGTGTGCGGGTAGAGCCAGTCATTGGCTGCAAGAAAGTTGTGAGCCGGGACAGCGTGAATAGGTTAGGCCAGAAGAGGTTAGGCCGGAGTAGGTACAGCCGGATGAGGAACTGCCTGCTTATGAGCGAGCATGATTAAGCATTGGCTGAAGACCTACGGCGCTATTATCTTTCGGCAGTGTGTCGCTTGTCTGAATTACGGATTTCAAGTGTAGTCTGCGGCTTTCAGTTCTGAGGCTGAGTAAAGTTAATGCATGGTGAAGCTAGGCGTTGGCTCCAGGGCTTATTTAAGAGTGAAATTTGTGGCCTACGGCTGCGTCCCCCAAGTGAGTAACTTAACTGAAGTTAACTCATGTAATCTCCTCAGCATGCATAACACACTTTATGTATTACATGTACAGTATATAGCCCACCATGATTACAATGGAGCAAAATCTTTTGATACATCATGAATTAGAAATACTCAGTATCACTATTTGTCTCTGGTTTATTTCCGTATCAATCGAGCCCAATCAGCAAACTTTTATTTTACATTCTCGGTGAGTGATCTTCCTAGCTTGATGCACCTGCTTTACTTGATTAGTTGAACTCTAGGTTTAGTTATAGAGCTAAGAGTAAAGCAGGCTGCGGTGCGTGAGCTACTGGAGTGAGGAATGCGTCGAGTGTGGCGTGATGACATGAGTAGAGGTGGCATGTGGAATGTGGGGGGTGGAGGAATGTGGGGATTGAAGGAATGTGGGGATTGAAGGAATGTGGGGAGTGGAGGAATGTGGGGAGTGGAGGAATGTGGGGATTGAAGGAATGTGGGGAGTGGAGGAATGTGGGGATTGAAGGGATGTGGGGATTGAAGGAATGTAGAGTGGAGGAATGTGGGGATTGGGGGAATGTGGGATTGGAAGAATGTGAGGGCAGAAGGTAATCAATATAAAGTAAATTGATAAATAAAATGATGAAGAACTAAGCATACATTATTATATAAACATAATATGCTTATATATATAATGTAATATCTATAAACATATATTATTATGTTACTACATTCAAATATTACCGTATAGCATTTAATTAGAGGTGTACACTGTACAATGTTCATAGTTCGGTTGTACGACTGTGATGAGAAGTGTTGAGTGAGGGAATGTTTGTTGAAAATGAATGCATTGAGTGAATGCATGTTCGGAGATGACAATATTGTAGCCTTGCAGTAAACACTTCAAGTTTTTTATAGATGTCCTACATTTCTATGCTGCTCCTACATTCTTACGTAGGTCCTACATTCCACTTCCAAGTTTTTAGACGATACTTTAGACGTGAATTAATTCCTCAAACTTACCATGAAAATAATTAATTATTGTTTTATTAGAGCCGAGAACTTTATTTCATGCTAGCGTGAGAGCCTAACATTCAAAGGTAGAGATCAAGGCACCGAATATAGAAATGATCTATTTCCTCCTTGGCCTGTTAACCTCTGTCTGAAGTTGGCTCTACTCAAATAAGATGACGCCAGTCAGTGAATATTCATGTTATGCAACAACAGTTAGAAGTAAGTTAAATGGAACGATTCATTAGACGAAGTTAATCAGGTTGTTCAAATTTATAAATTCAAGCAAACCTATTGATGGCTAGTTCAAATATCTTCTGGATTTTTCAACTCGGCCTTTCTGTCTTCTAATATTCATTTCAGTTTTCATGCCTTTGCTAATGTTGAAGCTCCCTTGTTTAACTGACTTTTTTTCAAACAGCTGCTTACGTTCCTCGTCTTGAATGTTCATCCTTCTCTATCATTCTCATCCTTCTCGTTGAATGTTCATCATTCTCCATACTCTGTAACATTGAACTAATTTCTTCCTAAATACGTAATCATGTTTTCCTTCTCCCTGTTCTTGCTCGTCTTTAGAATGATTAAGTCTGTCCCAGGAAGCAGTGAAGTCTGGAAATTGGACCCTGGCTTGCCAGTTTGGCAACAAACGTCACGAGAATTGAGTCACGAGTTCGTCCCGAGTGTCGTCAGTCTCAGTGGCTGACTACAAACTGTCGCTTAATGAGAACGGGGACATGGCAAGTTTTCGGGGTAAATACTGGATCCCAGATGCC